TCTCTCTCTCTCTCTCCTCTCGCTTCTCTCTTCCTCTGCATGCGGGAGAAGTGTTGCTCCGTTTCTTCTGTCCGGACTTCCGCAACGGCGCTTTCGATAGCGCCAATGTGAACTCTTGCCCGGCCTTCCCTGAACATAGCGGCCAAGCATGTGGAAACAATGCTCTTGGGCCCGGCCTTAGCCGTGCAGAGCATCGAAAGCCTCTGCCAGCCTTTGCCTCTCGGGAGAACCTTCCTCCACAAGCTTCGCCTGCTTCGCGCTTGTCGCCCTTTCCGTTTGTTTTTGGTGCCCCCACCAGATCCCATCCTGCAGGTGTGCCTATCGCTGTGCGTTTCCAACGGCGTACATGTTTGCCGGGTCCTTCCCTCACTTCGTGGAGGTGGATGAGGCAAGGCCGCCCTTCGGATCCTGAGGTTCCGTACAAGCAAGAAATGTCAGTGCCAGTAGTCTCACAGTCAATAAACTCAGTCATGGGCCAGCTTGCCCGATGCCTTTGCTTCGCAGGTCAGCTTCATTCATCCTGTTGAAGTTGGAGATATCTGTGAGTTCAACGGTTCCTTAGCTTGTGGTGATGAGGAGCTGACAGCGGAAGGCCTCTAGCGCTTTGCTCACTGAGGACGGGTCATGCTGACCTACACGAAGGTGAGGCCGATCCTGCATGTGGAGGTCACGGCATCTGTACTGAAGCCTGACCAGCTGCTTGGCATGTATGAGCAGACCTCCCTCGGTGCAATGAAACGTAATCAGACCTGACCGATGCAGAGCCAAGGAAATCTAGTCTGGTCACCAATGAAGCTTGGTATGGGATATTCTTTGCAACAGAATATGGGAGTTTCCGAAAATAGGGGACCCTAATATAGTACCCTACATAATAGGATAGGATCCTTATTATAAGGACCCCAAAATAAGGTACCCCAACTTTCGGAAACCCCCAGAAAAGGGTCGCTCCTGCCTGCGCCCAGGTCTTCAACTTTGTCTTCGAATTGAGACCGAAGCCTGGACAAGCTCTTCCGGTCATCAAGCGCGTGTTCCCGGCAACGAACACGATAGCCCAGAGAGTGGCCAACCGGCTGCATGCATTGTTTCAATCGGAAGTGTCCGGAGGAAGAGGGAGGGGAAACGACAGACGGAGAGAGACAGGACGCGAATCGACTTGCAAACCACCGAACCATGGAAAGAAAAGTACGGCTTCTTGTGAGGAGTCAGGGAAGCACGCCTTTTAGCCAGGCTTGCACTTCGAACTTCGAACCAAGGCCCGACAGGAGAGACAACTCTTAAGTACTTAACAATCAAAATAGGGCTTTGGGGCATATTATACTACAATTAAATCATAACAAGTAACCCTCAAAATAATATATTATAAGCCCCAGAGACAACGCCAGATAGAACTTGCGACCCTTTTGCGACGAAAGCTGCTCAATGAGGTCGCCATCATGGCGCGGCACGACGCGTAGGCCAGCGTTGCATACACGCTGCCCGGAAAAGACGTGAGAGTGGAAGTAGGATGTCCACTCAGCGGAAGCCTTTGTAGCCTTTGTGTTTCTGTACAAACACGAGAATTTCAGACGTGCGCACCCGGGCAACCTCAACAGGACCTGTGAGGGCGCACACCGTTCCCCAGACAGCAGTCCCGAATTCCGCCCGTATGGATGTACAGGTGTGGCATTGCGACATCTTCCCATGCATGTTGGACTGTGATCGGTTTAAATTCGTGCACAGTGGTTGCCATACAATGCCACCAAAAGAGCACCTTGGGCGACGTGACCCCTTCATACCTCAACACGAACCAGCC